AAGTTCTCATGCTTATACAAAATGAGAAGAGGAGAGAGTTGGAAGAATCAATTCAATTGAAATGAACCTGCTGACAGATCCACGTGAGGTATTTTTGAGCAAATTATATCTCCCTAATTCTATTTTATTATACTTTTACATAATGAGTTATAAATAAGACTGGGTTTCTCAGAATAGTGGACAATACAAGAAATACACAAATAAAAAGTCAACACAGGATTATCTCTATAGAATTATTAGATATTATTTCTGATGCACAAAATAATACTCAGTATCTAGATGAGTATCTTCAGAGATGACATAGTACACAGTGCCTTAAAGAAAGGTCAGAGTAAAAACTGGTAATGACAGCAATAGCAACAACTGAAGTTTTCAAATACTTCCCATGTGCTAATAAGCACTGGATTACATACTCCCCAAGTAGTACTTCATATAACAAAGTAGCCCAACAGAAATCCATTTTCATCTTATTAGCAGACAACGTGTCACAGAGAGCGTAAGAAACTTGCCTCAGGTCAAACAGTTAAAAATGACAGAGCAAGCACCTCAACCCCGGTGTCTAGAAATTAGAATTGAACCTAAGGAGTCAAACAGTTAAGTAACATACAATTTATAAAAGTAAATTGACAGAGGGTTGACCCAACTGAGAAAACTTGAAGCAACTTCAAGGATAACAAAATGGATCTTCAAAAAAAGTCATTTCATATACATACACACAAGATTACACACACTATGATACTATCCTTTCTCCTATTTAACTCATTGGCATGACAATGGAGAACAAATTTAAGGACATAGAAAATATTTAAGACACCCAGGGTCCCAAGCAGGAGTCAAGNCTTATGCTGTGGGTTCTGACTCTAACTACAGGTAGACAGTGTCAGAAATGAATTGAATTACAGGACACCCAGTTAGTGTACACCCAAGAACTGGTTGTGAGGATGAATCACCACACATTCTGGTGACTGTAAGTGAAGCATTCTGTCTTGAGTGGTGTGTTAGAGCAGAAAGAACACTTCTGCTCTGTCCTATCACAAACAGACCTGAACAAGCAGAGAGGGCTTGAGACAGCTCCACGCAGTTTCTGGAGCCCCAGAGGAAAAGGAAGAGCAGCCAGTGTTTCCCTAACTCTGAATTATCTCTTTCACGTACATGAAATGCGGTGGAACCTGAACAGGTCAGGCCTCAGATGTATGAAGGCCTCAGTTCTCAGCAATATGTACAGAGAATTGAAATGACCCACAGTGAATTCACAGAAGCCAGATGATGGACTGTTGCTCATAATGATAAAGACTTTGCCTTTGTCTCTATTTTAGCTGCAGCACCAGTGGAAGACAAAAGGATGAACTATTACACATTCGAAGAACGGTCACATATGGGGCGAAGAAAAATTTCCTTTCAGACATCAAAGCAAATAAACTTTTGTTTTCCCAAAGAACTCTCCCACTTGCAGAGTTTCCCAAACACTGTTTAATGGTGCAGCTTCCTCTCTGTCCATCTAAGCTCTTACCTGTGTTCACACCTTTGATCAATTCCTGCCCATTTGATTTTCTTGCTATTTTCACTTGACAAGGCTCCTTCCCTTGTTCCAACGTGAAGATAACACTCAGGTCAGGAACAGAGTTTCCTGCTTATAAAAACAAAGGAACATGATATGCTGTGGCTTTTCCAGAATCCCAGTTCTATGTCAAGGTAGGAGAGAAAACAAAACAAATGGATCTAGAAAAATATTTGACAAATTCATCCACTGACTGCATCCTTCTAAATACTATAATATGCAGATACCTAAGTTTCATCAAAGAACCACTGAATCAAAAGCAGAGGAGTGAAACCCTGAAAACTGTATATTTTAAATATTTGCCATAGAGTCTTATAAACATAAAAACTCTGGAACCACCCAATGATGTACTATAAAGAAGGCAGAACATCTGAAGAAAGGGGATAGTTAAAGGCCAGATACCATATCAGGAAGCTTTTCTTTTCCAGATCAAAACCACTTCAATTTCAGTCAAGCAATACAGGGGCTCCCAAGTGGCACACCAGGGAACTACAAAGACACACAAGGGCAGATACCCAAATTCTGGAGGGAAGTCATCCTCACCCAGAGAGAGCAGGTTCCTGTAGTTCTCCAACATCACGTCCCTGTA